TCAAACTTCTGCAAACCAGCAGAAAAATCTCCTTACCTGTAGGGAGAACTGGTAATGGTTTTCCTTCCAGTTTATCCAAATCCGTAGTAAATAATGGGATTTTGGGATCATCATATGCAACAACCTCCCTTTATAATATAAATAAGATTAATTATTTAGGGTAACAATTTATTGTCTTCTATAAACATATATTTACTATAACAATATTATTCAAACCAGCAGAAAAATCTCCTTACCTGTAGGGAGAACTGGTAATGGTTTTCCTTCCAGTTTATCCAAATCCGTAGTAAATAATGGGATTTTGGGATCATCATATGCAACAACCTCCCTTTATAATATAAATAAGATTAATTATTTAGGGTAACAATTTATTGTCTTCTATAAACATATATTTACTATAACAATATTATTATTATTATCATTCCAACTTGGCAGATACAGCTGAAATGGAACCAATTTCCTAATAAAATAAGGTTAGGCAGCATTCATGGCATAATAGCTGGCAAAGCTTTAATGTAGAAGATTTGCCTCTGATGAAGACCATTAAAATAATAAATTAGAAGTTTCTTTGCATAACTCATCTGCTTTCCCTCATGAGGATTTCCAACTGCACAAGGACAGTTCATGAAATTCAGGGAAGAATGGTGTCAACACTAAGTACTTAGGGGGAGTGAAGCCTTTGAACAGTCATCTAAACTTAAAACACATATTCTACTCTTTCTGCCATTAACAGAAATTCCATATGGAAGGACAAGGCTGGAAAAATAACTGGGAAGTAGATAAGCTTTAATTAGCACTACTGTTTCAAGTGTATAAACATTTATATTTTTGGTCTCTCTCCTAAACACTGTTGGGTTTTTTCTATGTATCAGTGATCAAGCCTTTCTGCACGTTTGTACTGGTTTAAAAGTTTGACATTTACAAGGTTTCAGCTGCCATGTGACAACTAGGTTGCACCTTTAACAGTGATTTAGTAGGTTTAACTGATACAAATCTTTCTGATTGATAGGTAGTTGGAGACCAACTTTCCTACAGCAAGATGACCAAAAAAACCCCTGTTTTGAATATTATCTATCATAGTTGCAACATAAATAATTATCCATAAAGTGTTCAGGCAAGCCCTTGCAAGAAGCTGAACAACTAGACACACGTCTTGATACTCATGTGTCACAGAACCAGAGGACCAAGAAAGGTTCAACTGCATTAAAAACACGAGGGAAACACAGATATTCTCTCCCTACCTATATTTCAGTCCACATGGACATCCTGTGGATCAGTCTCTTTGTACTTAGCTATCCCACATATACTCTGTGCTGTCAGTTCAAGTGTCACTTCCTTTATCTTCCTACTCACCAGTTGACATTCTGAGGTCTAATGATGATCTTTCTGTATGCTCCAGAAAGTGAGTAATCTCTGATCTTATGCCTCATGTTGTTGATGTCAAGATTGTCAGCTACTAGCATCTCCTTGTAGGCCTCACCAACTGCAAGAGAGAACAGTACTTAACAGGAGAGAGCATAGTGTGGCCAGTGGAAACAGCCTGTTTGCATGGACCCTTCCTTCCCTTCTGTCTGGTTGTTTTCAGGATATATGGGATAAATATTACACACAAGGTTGAAATCACTACAAGTCTTATTACCTATAATGTTTGCTTCTACACCCTGATTAGCAGAGGCAGCAACCAAGAAAGCATCTTATCCATCAAAATTTCAGCTGAGAACATAATTTACAAGGCATTTTACTGACATTTCATGGCCATCTCATACATGCTTTCCAATTATCTGCACTTCACAAGACTAATCCCAGGTGTATGGGAAAAAAGGAGAAGGAAAAATAAAGAGCCAGACTACTCAGTTGACAACCTGACAACCAAGTCCAGGAGCAGTTCAACCCAATATTGGAGAAAAAGCACATACATATTGGGAGACTGGTTTGGCTAAACAAGGAACTCATGAGTAACCTCAGATATAAGGACACACAGAGTAGGTGACAGCTCAGGCCAGACCAACATTGTCCAGGCACATAGGGATGGTGTTAAGAAAGCCAAAGCTCAGCTACAGACCTTGTTTTGACCAAAAGGTTGGAGCAGACACCTCCTGAGCTCCTTTCCAACCAAAATGACTCTACAATTCTACCCCTTCATATGCTCCATGCAGATAATTACAGATAAAACTTATTCCATTGAAGACAATTTAAATCCAATACACTGTATATCCAGGAGATTAAAAGTACATGTATTTTATTTTTAAAGCATTCATGTTGGTTAACATTTAAACAAACAGATCTAGTTCCTTTTCCTAACTTCAAGTGTTTGCTTGGGTTACAAATTCTGGAAGCTTGTTTGGTTTGTTTTCTAATTCAGAAATCAAATGCACACACCTTTCAATTAATATTTTACCATTTTTTTCCCTTCTGCTGAGATAAATAGTTTTGCCTCAGTAAAAAAAAAGAACATTTAGCTACTAGCTAAAAAGAAACATGAAACATTTTTATATAAAATGAAACCAGTTAGAATGCAGAATGTTGCTATTATCACAATGGGAGGGGCTGACAATAACATGTCAGATATCTGCAGTAGTGTATTAATGGTCACCAGGGGTGCATAGTTCTAATCTTCCTTTTAAGAACAATCTTAAAGCAGACTTATATTTTCAGAGTAAATGCCAGTTTATAGTCACTTACTTTTATGCTTTGGATAAATGACATCAAATCCAGGCAAAGGCATCACTACATCATGGATAGAGTAGTTATCAACATCTCCTTCTTCAATATGAACAGCTGTGGCTACAAGCAGGACAGAAGAATGAAGTTACCAGTGTGGATGTCTGTGACAGTTAGCATCAGCTAAACTTAAAATAAATCCTTTGATTGAAATAAAGTTACTCTGAGAGGGATAACTACGGTGCTTTATCTCCACTTGACAGACAAGATTTCCAAGAAAAGCAGTAACAGCCTTCAAGGCTGTCACAGTTATCAGCAGAATCACAGCCTGGTTCACAGGGACTTAGAGCTCAATGAAGTAAGGACTGCTAGATGAACAGTTCCCTTACAGGCATCAGGCACACTGAGAGGAGAAATACATTGGATGAAATACAAATATTGCTGTTTTCTTTGCAAAGTGAATGTGATTTTGAATAAGACTGGCTGAGGTCCACTAGGTTTGGCTGTGGGCAAAGGAATCAGTAGAGGTTCTGTTTGTTTTGTTTTGGTTCCACTGGGAGGCTGTTCTTTGTGTACAGAATGATGCTGATTGTAGAGGTGCCACTGGATCTGCCACACTGAACCACTTTTCTTTATATAAAGAGGTAAACAAACTTACATTTCAAGGACAGAATTATATTAATACTAAAACCTGAAGGCATAATGAAAGTATAGGCATGAATGTGGCACTCAGTGTTTTCAGCAATGAGGCTGGTGAAGGGACTGGAGCACAAGTGCCATGAGGAGAAGCTGAGGGAGCTGGGGGTGTTCAGCCTGGAGAAGAGGAGGCTCAGGGGAGACCTTATCACCCTCTACAACTCCCTGACAGGAGGTTGGAGTCAGGTGGGGGTTGGTCTCTTCTCCCAGGCAACCAGCAGCAGGACAAGAGGGCACAGACTCAAGCTCTGCCAGGGGAGGGTTAGGTTGGAGATTAGGAAGAGATTTTTTACAGAGAGAGTGCTCAGGCATTGGAATGTGCTGCCCAGGGAGGTGGTGGATTCACCATCCCTGGAGGTTTTTGAGATGAGACTGGATGTGGCACTTAGTGCCATGGTCTAGTGACCACGGTAGGGTTGGACTCGATGATCTTGGAGGTCTTTTCCAACCCGGTTGATTCTATGATTCTATGATCTCTATGATTCTATGTTACTGTGGGAAATCAGAGAATTTTAGGGGTTGGAATGGACCTTAGAGATCATCTATTCCCAACCCCCTGCCCTGGGCAGGGACACCTCCCACCAGAGCAGGTTGCTCAAGGCTCATCCAGCCTGGCTGTGAACACTGCCAGGGTTGGGGCAGCCACAGCCTCCCTGGACCAGAGCAAATCCAAGTGAAGAAAGTTTTAACTGAGTGGAGGTTTTGCTTTACCAGATACTACTGCAATCAAAAATTTGTATGGTTAAAACATTCATAACATCTTTCCACAGTTCTTAGCTCAACTAGGTCTGAGTTAATTCTTGAGAATAATCAGTCCTCCACCATCTCTCTTCCCTACCCAATTAGTTGGTAAAACAAGCAACAGTTCATGGAAGTGCAATACCTAACTTCCAATTCCTTGCAAAATCTAACTAAAACAGGCCAAGGGATTCAGGTATCACTGAGCCAAAATGGGTGAGAGAGAAAAGAAACTGTGTAAGCAACATCAGACAAAGAGGTATGTGCCTTGTTTCCCAGGAATTTGAACTACACAGCATCCCTGGCTTTCTGTTTGTGTGATTTTACCTCCTTTAAGTATGAGATCTCCTGGGACAGCTCTAAGCCCATACTCTTCTATTCTCTTGCTCACCATATTGTTCCACACATAACTCTGGTAGCTATGGATATACATTAAACGATTATTTCTTGGTATCTAGAGGAAAAGAAAAAAAAAAAAAAAAAAGTAGTGAAACACTACAAAGATGTCTTGTTAGGTTTTTTTCTCATAATCATAGCCAAAAAGGCATATATTTGAAATGTTACCTTATCCAGCAACAAGACTAACACAATTTCTTGGTATACAGATTTGATTTTTGGTCATTATTTGTGGAAAGGGTATGTGAAGAAATGATGCTTTTATATATTTGAAATCTGCAGAAAAAACCCAACACTTTTTTCAACAGCTCATCAAACACTTGAGGCTATTATAAAACATTGAATTCAGACTCAACCTCCTGAAACCTTATGTAAACTTTGCAGCTGTGAAAGCACAGTGTTACTCTAATTATCTTCTTCATAAACAAGAAATTATTCCTTGGCTCCTACAATGGGCCCAGTAGTTTGTTGGTGATGAGGTATTTTCTCCAAAGACTCAATCTTGATTACAGCACTTGCAAATGACAAGTGACTCCATCACCTCTATGCCAGGCTGATTCATCAGCCCAGTATCAGTTTGATTTATACTTTGAAAGCAACAGCAAAAACAGATACTGAACTTCTGCACAATGCTCAGATCTGTATTACACATGGTTACTAAGTATAACTGTATTGCTTCCAACATACCAGGGAGATTGTTGTACAAATTGGAAATCTCATTATGCAGACATTAATTACAGATGTCATTAGTTACCATGCAGCAGTACTTCAAGTAGAAAGGCAGGATAAATGTAGACCTTAAACTTAACTTTCTACTCATCAAACTCATCATGACACCATCAAAAGAATGTTTATTCAAGCAAATACCCCCCAGCACTTTTAGACTCACTATGCCAAATGCAGAGATTATGTTCTTCATTCCATACTTTAAGAGCCCACGGAGAAGTTGTCCTTCCACGCACCTTTTTACAGGTAGCTTCTTGAGGGCTGCTGCTGGATCTTTAGTCTTTGCCCATTCTTCTCTGCATTTTACTAAGTATCCCTTTTCAGCTAGAATGAGAACGTAGAATAAAAATATTTTAACTACACACCTCCCCTTTGGTTAAAGCAGCTGAAATATTAACTACAGAGATTAACAGAACCACAGAACACCTGAGGCTGGAAGGCTTCACTTGGAGTCTGAGCAAGGACCTGCACAACAAGGAAAGAGAAGCAGCAAGGCAGAGCCTGAGGATTGCTTCTCCATTGCTAAACTAGCTCAAGTTTAGCATGTGCAATGCTATGTCCTCACAAACATCCTTTCAAATTAAATCAAAACCTAACAGTGTTTTTCCTGAACACACAATTCTTGGAGGAGAAGAGGCAGAAACATTTGATATATCATTTTTTTCAGTCCTTACCTCCTGGTCGTGGTTTTAATATCAAATCCATGACTTCATTCCAATTGTTCTGTAGAATAGCTCTAAGATTCAAACAGGAAAGTGTATCAAGAACTATTTTAGGGGGATTTAGCCAACTAACCCCCCAAAAAGTAAGTATTAGTGTTTAGACTTATGCAATATTAAAAGCAGTGCTATTACACAAGATAACTGCTGCAGCAAGTTCAGAAACAAGAGCTTCCTTGAATCTAAAATTAAAACTTGTACATGCAATATGCTAGAAAAATGTTCCCAAAAATACATGGAGTTACACAGGGATAAGAATTTTTAAGAAAAAGATAAAAAGGGAGGGATGGAAGCAACACATACCTGCCAATCTGGTAAGTAGGAACTGCTGTGGTTCCAAATCTTTGCATTCCATAGTAATTAATGAATCCAATTTCCCTGAGAGAGTGCATTGCTTGTTCAATCTGGTCATCAGTTCCTGTTATGTTTCTAGCATTAAAAAAGAAATAAAGTCAGAGATATTATTAAGAGCTTGTGTTACTCTGTGATGCCCATAATATTAAGGGTCAACACCAATATTATATAGTATGTATCAAATTCAACAGACTCCTGCCAATAGGACTTCATTTTTTAACACAAGCTGCACAGGTATTGCTTACCTATTTCAAGAAAAAAAACCTAGCAGAACTGCCTGAATACATACTAACACACTACCTGAGAACAACAGTGAAATGGTTCCCTTGCAGTTCTCCTAACTTCAGTGGATGGTTCTTGTAACTGAAGTTTCCTAATTTGAAGTTCATCAAACATTTATTCAAATGAGCAAGTCTTTGTGCAGTGATTCTGAAAAGAAACAGACAACAGTGACCAACCTATGCTTAGAAAAAAACAAACAGATAAATACAGAAAATCCAGCATTACAAAATAAAAAGTAATGAGTCTGATTTCCTCAATTTTCATAGAATCAACCAGGTTGG